AAAGAGCTGAGTACATGCTCTGCATGTGAGATGCAAGTGTTGGCCCCAGCACTGCATTCATCCCCCCCCCCCCCCCCCAGTGCTGCCAGGAGCAACCCTCCATACACAGAACTGGGATATGTCCCTGTGCATCACTGCATGTGGCCACAAAACCAAAAATACATTTATATTGTATACTTGCATATATTATACAAATTTTATATTTATACATAGTAAGCATTCTATACAATTGTATATGTAAATAGTTTTGCATTCTGTGTATTACATGAGTGTATGTTTTCTAGTTTATAAATGTTAATGTGTTTTGCTGAAGGCCAGACTATTAACATACATGTCATTATGTGTCTTTATGTTCACTTATACCCTCCATTCTGCCACCTCACTAATCAGAATCTGGAGCCAGTTATTTGACCTCTCTTTGCCTCTGTGTCCTCACCTGTAAAATATGACTTTTAACAGGATTTACCTCCTGAATTGCTTGTGAGGACTCGAAGACATGACACACAGCACTTAGAAAAGGATCTGGCATACTCGAACATTCGAGATGTTTAGCTGTCAGCAGTAGCAGAAATAGTTAGATCCAGTAGTGCAGGGAGCCCTCAGTACACAGTCTTAGCTTCATGGTTCTGGGGGGCAGTGAGCAAAAGTCCTTAGATGCTTTCCTGGCCACTGCACAAAGCTACCCTCCCTGCCCTGTGCCAAGGACAGAGGAAGAACCAATGGAGCCAGTAGGGACCCGGCCAGCAGCAATGCGTTTCCCTTCCTCTCTTTAGCCCCTGGCAGAGAGCACTTGCATGGAGATAACACATTTCATTTGCACTTGGAGTCCTATTGACATTTTGTTTTTGTTCCTGACTTTTTTTTAGGCTGACCTTTTGAGGAAGGGTAGAATATCCAAACAGGGAAGTGACCTTGCAGAAATGCAGGGAGTTCCTCAGCCTTGTGAAGATTTTTTTAAAGGCTGCTGCACAGTGAGAGTTTTAAACAAACCTTTTGCAGGAAGGACCCTGGCCACATCTGATCTGTGTGTCAGCATTGATCTTAGGTTCATTTTTTTCTCTGTGTGTGTGTATGTGTGTATGTGTGTTTGTCTGTCTGTCCTGTCCTCTCTCTCTCTCTCTCTGTCTCCTTTTGCTTCTAACCAGCACCTCTTTTAGCTCCTTGGACTTCATGAATAGATTTTATCTTCATCCTAAACCTATTTTATTCTTCATTGGCATGATGGGTATTTGCTAAAAATGCATTGACAGAGAGTTAGAATTGGTCTTGCTTATCTCCCAGAGTGCCTTTAAAAGGGAGGATAAACCTAGTGGAATGCAGGAAGGATGTCTTGTGTCGGGTGGCAATTAGCTAAATATAGTCAGGGAACCAGAGGTACCTGTGAGGTCATCATTGCCCTCCTTCCCATCTTCACCATGTGAACATCTCTTGCCCTGTGCTGGCCAATTCAGTAGCCACCCACCACTCTTGAGCACACTACTGTCACTAGTCCATGTTGAGATGTCTTAACACGAATATCATAACACATCATAACATTTACCCTGGATTTCAAAGATGTAAAGTATATTTTTATATATTATGTTGTATAAATATATAGTTATTACTATATATTATATATTAATATATTACATTAAATATATTATATATTAAATTATACGGACATATAATTTAATACCCAGGCAGGAATGATAGGACAAGGATTAAAACACTTGACTTACAAGCAGCTGACCCGGTTGAGTCCCTAGAACTGCACAGGCTCCCCCAGTACTCCAGGAGTAATCCCTGAACACAGTCGGAAATAATTTGCTCGAGGCCCTCCCGTTGATCATCGATTTGCTCGAGCGGGCCCAGTAACGTCTCCATTGGAAACTTTGTTGTTACTGTGTCTGGCATATCGAATACGTCACGGGGAGCTTGCCAGGCTCTGCCGTGTGGGCCAGATACTCTCGGTAGCTTGCTGGGCTCTCCGAGAGGGGCGGAGAAATCGAACTCGGGTCGGCCATGTTGGCTGCATGCAAGGCAAACGCGCTACCGCTGTGCTATCGCTCCAGCCCCTAATAATACTCAAAACCCCCAAAATAAAAATAAAATATAAAATTTTTCATCAGTAATTTTAATTAACTGCATTCCTATGCTATCTTGGGTTAAATAAAAGATACTAAAATTGGGGCTAGAGCAATAATAGAGCAGGTAAGGCTCTTACCTTGAATGAGGCTGACCTAGGTTCAATTCCCAGCATCCCATATGGTCCCTCAAATATCACCAGGAGTGATTCCTTAGTGCAGAGCCAGGAGTATGCTTTGAGCATCTCTAGGTATGGCCCCAAAACAAAACAAAAACAAAACAAAACCCGCCAAAAAGATACTAAAATTAATTTTATTTTTTTCTTTGAATTTTCCTTTTAATTCTGAAAAACAAAAAGGCTTCCCTTGTATATTCACTTTGTATTTCTATCTGAAGGCCATTATTTGGTCTTCAAACCTCCAGGAGAGATTCTAGAATCTTCCTTTAGGATTCCTCTGGATGTTGGGTTCCCCCCCCACTCCCCAGCGATGCACAGGGATTACTCCTGGCTCATGTCCTACCTGCTGTGCTATGGCTCCAGCCCCTCTGGATCTTTTATCATTCAGCCTCTTCCATTCTTTCCCATGGAGGCAGTCTTAATCCCCAGTCTCCATGGGAAGACTTCGACCTCAGGTCATTGATTGTTCAGTGTATCCTTAGAAAATCTCCATTTAGAGTCAAGCATCTCCTCATATTTTCTAAATGTAAACTCAGTGACCTCATTTTTTCTCTTACCTTTAACTTTCTATCTCATTTTTTAGTGATCTTTCATAATGACCTCTCCTGGGTCACCTCTGATCTCCTTGCTTTATTTTGAAAATTGTTTAAAACCAGAGAGCTTGGGTGGTATAGATCCTACTGAGACAAGAGAGTGAGACAAGCAGAAGGAATTCTTGTCTAGTTCCTGACTAGTCTAGGCCTTTAATTCAGTTCTCTCTCTCTCTCTCTCTCTCTCTCTCTCTCTCTCTCTCTCTCTCGGGCGGGGCGGGGCGGGGGTGGTGCAGACACATACCTGGTAGTACTCAGGGCTACCCTTTATTTCTTTGGCTCAAATGACTGCTTTTTTTAAAATTCTACAATATAAGGAAGTGCAAATATTGTTTGAGTCTTGGTATGAGTCTTGGCTGATAAGGGAGTAAGACTCCAGAAATTAAGTAACTTACCAGGGTTCTATTGAAAAATAAGTGGCAGAGTTGAAGTTCATATGTGACCATAGATTATACATTCTTTTCTGACCGTCAGTCTTCTTTACCCGATACTCTCTTTGAATATACCTGGTGATCCTCAAAGGCTTTATCATCCATGGTAGATGTAATTTTAGTTTATGGTCAAGAGTGATGACTCGTGGAGCTGGAGCGATAGCACAGGAGTTAGGGCATTTGCCTTGCATGCAGCTGGCCCAGGTTTGATTCCCAGCATCCCATGTGGTCTCCCGAGCACTGCTAGGAGTAATTTCTGAGTGCATGTGCCAGGAGTAACTCCTGTGCATCACCGAGTATTACCCAAAAAGAAAAAAAAAAGCAATGATTCGTGCTTGTTCTGATGTCCTTGCCTCAAAGTCATTATGAAGCCCTTCTGCTAAGTCCCAGAATACCCTTCTCACCTCTGCCATGACTGAAAGTCGGCAGGACTGTCCTGCTCCAGCCCTTGGAATATCTTTAGGGGGCTAGAGTTGAAGTCTTCTGGTGTCAGCGATGACTTTTTGACTGGAGCTTGCTTTCCTTTCACTCCAGGTCATGTTGATAAATAAGTATCCAGAATAACCTCTTCTCAAAGGCCACTCAAGTCAAAGTTCATTTTTGCCCATGTTTACCTAAAGCGACATGTTTGTGTTTTAAGTGGTAGGGAACAGGGAAGACTTCTTATAAGAGTGTTAAAGCAAATCTTGCCATGGGTGAACCTTGAGGTTGTTTTGCTATGTGAACTAACCCAATCACAAAATAATCAGATTTCCGTTTTGTGAGGTACCTAGAATAGTCTAAATCATAGAGGCAGAAAGCGAGACTGGTGGTTGCTGGGGACTAGAGAGGCTGGAGTTAGGGGAGGGGGTAGAGAGTTACTGTTGAATGAGAAGAGAGTTTCCATTCAGGAAGATGAAAGAGGTCAGAGTTAGTTTGGAGACAGATGTTGATAGTTGCACAGCACTGTGAATGAACTTAATGCCATTTAATTGTTCACTTCAAAATGATTAAAATGTTACTACGGATATTTGGACATGATTTTAGAAAAGCAAGAAAGGTACCTTTACATAATGAAATATTAGCTAGGTTTTGATGTGTCATCAGGATACCCCTAGAGCTAAGTCCTGTTAGCTTTAGGTAATGCTAGCTTTGAGATCATGATTGTTTTCTGAGTCAGCATCTCCAGAGAAAGGTATGGGATGGCTCCACAGTGTTGACAGGGGTCCCTTCCTTCCTGGCAGATCGCTTCATCTAGGAAGTTTTATCAGCTGCACAGAAATGCTTTTGCATAGCTGAAACTACTCTCCCACAGATGTCAGGGGTAGGAGGGGAAGAAGCAGTGTTTGCCCAAGGACTTTTGTATTTAGACCTTTGATGACACTGGCCATTCTAGGGAGGCTTTCTTGTTCCTTATCCCCACTTATCTGAGGATTATGACTAGACTTCTAAGAAGAAAAAAAGCTCTGTATTTATTTGATCTACCAAAGCATAGCAGTAGATTCTTTGCGATCCAGCCGGAGAATTAGATAAGGCACCCACACATCTAAAAGCATTCACCCTGTCTTATTGAAGTGACTGCCTCTCACAACCCAAAGTGTCCATTAGCAGTCCAATGCATGAGGTTGTTAGGTTGTTTTGAGAAAATGTAGCGAAGGCACATGAATGGGGACACCAAGCCATGAAAATTTTCTTTAGCATGTGGTGCCTTCCTGTTTTTGCCAGTGCGTTTGCTCATTTGTCTTGTTTCCTTTTCAGGAATCATTAACCAATGGCAGCAGGAATCCAAGGATAAAGTGATTTCCCTCCTGTTAACTCACCTGCCTTTGCTGAAGCCGGGAAACCTTGATGCAAAAGTAGAGTATATGAAACTGCTGCCCAAAATCCTGGCGCACTCTATTGAACACAACCAGCACATCGAGGAGAGCAGGCAGCTGCTGTCCTACGCTTTGATACATCCGGCCACATCATTGGAAGACCGCAGTGCTTTAGCCATGTGGCTGAACCACTTGGAGGACCGCACGTCCACCAGCTTTGGCAGCCAGAACCGAGGCCGCTCAGACTCTCTGGATTATGGGCAGACACACTACTATCACCAAAGACAGAACTCTGATGACAAGCTCAATGGGTGGCAGAACTCTAGGGATTCTGGGATTTGCATCAATGCCTCCAACTGGCAGGACAAAAGCCTGGGGTGTGAGAATGGCCATGTGCCCCTCTACTCCTCCTCATCCGTCCCCACCACAATCAATACCATTGGAACCAGCACAAGTACAAGTAAGTGCTCCAGAAGTCCCGTTCGTGCAATCGGGTGTGGCAACTGGCTGTGTGTGGCATGTCGCACTGAGAATGTCTGCTCCGAGCACCCCGGAACCCTGGGGAGGGGGCTGTTTGGAATTGGCTGTGGGAATGGGTACTGTGGGACCCTATCTCTGCTGCTCTTTTCACTCTGGAAAGCTAAAAATGCTGGGCAGGTGAAAATGATTGATGGTCCAAATTTCAGTCGCAAACAGGCTCCAAAATAAAAGCACCTAGAAGTGGTGAAAGAAGGAACCTTCCTATTTCTACAAACATTGTCTTTCTTTCATCCTGGGGTTTGGGGATTTGCTGAGACACTGAGTTTTGCGTGACTCTCTAAACCTGATTCTAACCCATGGTTAACCATACAGCCTCAAGGCTTGGTGCATTTACCTGCCTTACATCCCCTACTCTTCTTCCTTTTTTTTTTTTAATTTTAATTTTTCTCTGGAATGTCTCCTCCCTAGCATTTCCTGGTTTTAATGTACAATTGTTGGGGAGCACTTTTCCTTCTGATGGGGGTGGGGGAAGCAGGTTTGCTGAGAATGCTGCTCTGTGCTGTGGCCTGGGGTGAATTTGGTGGCCTTTTGCTCAGTCTAACCCCTGAGAAGAGGTGGGCCAGGAACCGCTTTGCGTGAGGGGAGAGCAGAGAAGAGTCTGCTGCTTTCTTGACTGCTAAAGCAAAGTGCCCTGCCCACGTTGGTCCTCTGGCTGGCATCTTGCCTGTGTCTCCGTGTAAAGGCTGGACAGAGTGACACTCTGCCCTGGCTGCTTGTGTGAAATGCCCTGAGGGAAAATGGCTTGTTGTGAGACAGAATTCCGTGAGTTAGTCTGCACGTGGCTGTGGAGAATGCCATGCATTGAGCACCGAGGAAGCTGTTGTGGTTAAGATCTCATTTGCCTCTCAACATACAGGAACCCCGCCTCCCCACCCCCCAAGCCCCCCATGACAAGATATGAGAGTATTAAGAATTTGCAGGGATAGTTCATTGGCCTCTACCTCTGCTTGGGCCATTTGGCTAATGGACCTTCTTAAATGGCTTTCTTAAACACACGGGTTTGGTAAATTGTTACTATGTGAAATGGCAGTAGCCCCTGAGTGAATTAGCCAAGACAACATGGAAGAGACTGTAGTGATGATGTCCCCATGTATCATGCTACCATGTGCCATTGTTTAATTCTTGTTTTCTCTTTGAACATTTAGTAATGGTAACTTGCACACTGGGGAGAGAGAGGGGGGATGTTTGGTCACTCAATTTGTGATATATATAGTTCTGGCTTCAGTCTCTTTCACAGACTGGTAATGTAGAGAAGTGTCACTTCCAAGTGACAGAGAATGACAGCAGGGAGCATTGCAGAAGACTCATGTAGACTGGGCTGACAGTGCTGCTTGACCCAAGTCATTGGGTCATTGTTGGAATCCAGTCCTTGTTACAAAACTCTCTGATAGCAAGGGAAAAAGTGAGCTCTGAGCCACCCTGCACTCTCAGAACTGAGTCTTTGGTACATGCATAAGTCGAATTTTTATGTTATTTGTCTTCACCTGCATTTGTCTTGGCTCATCACATTTCCATCTGTGCTGATTTATACATTCAGGCTGGGTGGGTCTTGACAAAATTAGCCCATTAGAGATGGGCTTTTCCAGACTAGCCATAAGGCACAGTTACTTTTCACTGCAGCCACCCAACCTGCAGAGGGAGCCAAGGCAGAAATGATTATCCTGGTTTCCCAGCCCTTTGACTCCCTGTGTGGTGCTTATGCTGAAAAGGATGGGGAGATTTAACAAGATAACATTACATCCGTTGGAATAAATTTAAAAAAATATAGCCCCATTTTGGGCTGCTATCAACAGAGACATCACTCAAATATCACTTCTCCCAGAGTTGCATTCAAATACTTAGACCATGTCAGTGCTTTGTATTTCAATAATAACTAACAAAATAATGTCATTTCTTCTCTCCCTTGTCTACTATAGTGGTGATTGTCAGAATATTTAAGCCATTCATTCACTTTTGGTTTCAACAGATATTTATCCTGAGCACCTGGGATGTGGGTTGGCAAGAACTATGGTGCCAATGCCCTTCTAGATCCAAATTTCAGATCTACCATTTGCTAACAACAACTTGGCCAAGTCACTTAACTTTCTTGTGCAAGTTTCCCACTTAAAAAATAGGCACATTCATATTATGTATCTTCAAAAACTATGGTGAGGTTAATTCAATGATGCATGTAAGTGCCCAGCCCTGGTCAGAGTGGGTAACAGTGTTAATTCAGTGTTCGCCTACTAAAGAAATAAAGTCAAGAATTGGTAAGTGAGGTATTCACACTGATCCCGAGTCACTATAGTCCTTTCTTCTCTGTTTTTTTAAGTGTCACTCTAGGAAAGCTGCTTTCCACAGAGTCATCTGGGAAAGAGGGCTCTATACTGTGATGTTTAGCCATTTTGCTGAAGTAGAAATGGGATGCACTTAAGGCTTTGGGACCTCTTCTGCAGCAGAGAACTGCATACATTTCTCACCTTCTTCAAAGTGGGAAAATTGGCATAAAATATTATGATAAGGGTGGGGAAATAGTTCCAAAGGCTGGAGTACATGCTGGCATGTGGAGACCTTAGGTTCTATTCCCTGAGCACTACTAGGGTAGTCCTAGTGCCTCCAGCCCAAGCAATACCAGGCTGAGTATTTTTATAGGTAATAATGGCCCCAACACCCCATATTACTTCTTGGGAGGCCCCAAACAAAACCATGTTGATCAGTAAAGAACCAAGATCCATTCATGCAACTTACTTTAACATGATTAGTTAAGTTAGTAACAGTTTATGAAAAGAAAATAACTATGACCATCCCCATACAGTTTTTTGTTTTTAATCTTTGGGTTATTTCTTTTCATCTTTTTTTTTTTGCTTTTTTTGTCATTGTACTCCTGCAGAGTGCCTTAGCATCCATGGTTTCCTCTCTGTGTGGATTCAGAATCATTCAGTTGCCTCAGAAACACTCATTGTCCCTGGGAAAGGGATGCCAGGCTCTGTGTTTGAGGGGAAATTTGGAGTGTTTCTACTTTCAGGAAGCCTGTAATATAAGTGGGAATGAAAGGACATATCAGTCAGCCTCATACCTAAAAATGAAATTTTCAGACTTACACGTAGAACTTTTACATAACAACTTTGACTTATATGAAATTTTCACAGTAAAGAAAAATACCCTAAGAGCTGTCATGAGGCAATACCAGATGAATGGTTCATGGGAATGGACAGATGCATAGGTGGGTTTGTGAAATGTGGAAAGATACCGGTGACTGGGGGGTTGGAGCCTCTGCAGAGGATCTGGATCATGAGCTGGGATGGAGATGAAAGAGAAGGGAAGTCCACTGACCTTCGAAAGCAAAAGTGTAGGGATGATAGTGTGCAGGGAGGGCTGGAGGACGTAAGAAGGAAGGAGAGGTACATAAAGGAAAGGGGAAAGGGGCATAAAATCAAACTGAAGGGAGAGATCAGAAAGCCTTCCTAAAGAGGCTATACCAGGACCTAGGGGTGACATGAGCAGAGCTGTTGTGTGGCCACTGGGCTGTTGTGGGTGGAGCACTTGAAGAGCAAATAGAGTTAGAAAGTTTCAAAAACACTAACTGTGAGGTAACATGTGTTTGTCTTCAGAACAGGGGCAGAAACAGGAGTGGGACAGTGGCATGGCCACTGGAAAGGATTTGAGATAGAATGATTAAAATTAGAGTTCAGGGGGCTGGAGCAATAATACAGCAGGTAGGGCGTTTGCCTTGTACGCGGCCAACCAGGGTTCGTTTTCCAGCATCTCATGTGGTCCCCCAAGCACCACCAGGAGTGTGCAGAGCCAGGAGTAACCCCTGAGCATCGCTGGGTGTGACCCAAAAAGCAAAAAAAAAAAGATTAGGGTTCAAAATTGACTTGGACATATGTCAGACATACATTATGGATTTACTTGTCATTCATTCACTGAGGAAATATTTCTTGAACACCAGCCTGCCTTGCTTCTAACTCACCAATGGATAAAAAAAAGAAAAGAAAAGAAAAGAAAAACAGTCCTCTTTTGTAGATCTGGTGCATATAAATAATGGTCAATTGCATGATGGTCAGTTGCATCATATGTTAGAGATTGATAGGTGATGTGCACATAGAGTAGAGCCAGGAAGATCAGGTCTAGGTGGTGAAGCAGTCAGTGATTGTAGCATTCAGTGGGTGATCAGAGCATATCTGATTGAAAAATGTGTGAAAAATTAGGAGAAAGGCTAGGAGGGGCATGAGAACTTAGCTAAATAGGTGTGGGTCGTGGGAGCGCAGAGAGAGTGCTAGGAGAGTAGAGAGTAATTTAGGAGAGAAATTCTAGAGCCTAAGATAGAAGAGTGCCTGCTGGTTTGGAGAAACAGGAAGGTTGGTGGCTAAGAAGGAAGTGAATGAGACAGATGGCAGAGGCAGTGTAGAGGCTCAGATCCCATACAAGGCATCATAGGGCATTGCAAGGAATTTGACTTTGACTCTCAGTCAATCAGAAGATGATCTGATTCACATTCTATTATTTTAAATTGATTTTGTGGTTTGGAGCCACACCTTTTTGGTCCTGGGGCTACTCTTGGCTCTGTGGTTGGGGGTTGTTCCAGGCATTACTCAGGGGATCATGTGGTGCTGAGTATCAAACCTGGACTTCCTGAATGCAAAGCATGCACTCAGACTGCGGAGCTGCCTCTCTGACCCTGACTCAATGTTAATGGCCTCTCATACTTTTCTGCTTTATTAAGAATAGATTAAATCAGGGCAAGGACAACAGTAGATAAAGGAGAAATGGTCAGAGTGTACATATATTTTGAAAATGCAGCCAACAAGATGTCCTGACAAATGAAGGGTATGAAGGAGAGATTTCAAGAATGACTTTGGGATTTTTTTTTTTTTTGCCTAAGCTACTGGAAGGGTGGTATTGCCATCTGTTGAGGTAGGGGAAATATCTACTTATAAG